CTGAGCCTCCAGAACACAAGGACAGGGGCTGGATAGGTTTGCCTGAGCCTCCAGCGGACACAGGAATGGGTGCAGGCACCCGCCGGACATGAGCCCACCCACCCGAGGAGTAGGTACAGGTGCGGAGGTAGGCTGTGTCCTGGCTGGCCTCACCCTGGGAGCCGGGACAGGTACCCGCGACAGCTGGGCAGCTGCTGTCCCCACCCGAGGAGCTGGTACGGGTGCAGGGACTGGCAGAGCCTCAGCCAGCCTGGAAACCAGAGCAGGGACCAGCTGGACCTCAGCCTCACTCACCTGAGGGACTGGTACAAGTGCAGGGGAAAGCTGGGCCCGAGCTGCCCTGGGTGCAGTGACTGGAGCTCAGGAGAATTTTCACCGACAGTTTCTGTGTAAATGGGCTGGTGAGTAGCACCGTCCAGGGGTAAAGACACTCTAACGGTCTTATGCGATGCTGCCTGACCAGTGTTAACTGGGGTGGACACAAAAGCATGGTGAGCTGGGTCAAGGTGAAATGGTTCTGAAACACAAAACTCAACTTGATTCAATAGTTCTGAGGCACCGAGTCCAAGCTTCCTAGCCAGTTTTAATAAGCCAGATGGCACTCTGTTGCTAGTCACATTTTCCATCTGAGGCACAGAAAAAATACGGTGAGGTACTGGTGGAGCAACACTGGGAGTCTCAGACACAGAAGCAGGATTATCGAGGTTCAGAGGAGTCGGTTGAAAAACCAAAGTGTTCATAGAAGGAGCGTGATTAACCATGGATGAAATGGCAGTAAGTCTGGTACCAGAATGTGGAGAAGGTGGCAAACAGTCATTTTCACTCACAAAAGTCATCTTCTCAGCTGCCGTGGAGCAACGGCGGCGTGAACGCCGCTTTCTCCTGGAAGAGGGAGGAGACGGGTCGGCCCGCAAATCCTCCAGCGTTCTTGGTTGAAAATCCTCCAGCTCTTCACACAGGAGTGGCTGCTCAGGGTGGACACGTACGGTGGAAACAAGGAAGTCTTGAATGAGTGGGTGTAGTGCGCCAAATAGCCAGGGAAGTCCAGAAACCATTCTCTGCAATCGAATAGCTAGCTCCTCCTGGTATTCCTTAATAGGCAGGGCAAACCACTCCTGACATAGAAACTCCACCGCGTAAATCATGTCCTCCTGGAGCTCAGCGGAGGGATTGTGAGCTGCTGGGTCCATTGTCTGGTCGTAGTCTTCTGTCACAATACGGCTGTGTGCAGGCAAGAGAAGGACCCAAGCGCAAACTCGCAGAGACAAAGGTAAACTCAAAAACAGGGGGACACGAAGGGGGACACGAAAAACAATACAAAACTAAACTGGGAAAACTAAATCACAAGGAGCCACAGGGAAAGTCACACAGCTATGAGGGAGTCTACGACACTGACAAAGAGAAACACAGGGCTTAAATACACTGCGGGATAACGAGGGAATGGGAGCTGGGAGTAATCAGGCTGGACGAGACAAGGGAAGCAAAACTAGAAACACTGACATGA